ATTGACATCATAGGTAGACCTCAACTATGAGAGACAAAATGAGAAAACAAATCCAGACAATCACATTGTCTGATTTGGAAATAATTTTTTTGCAGTGTTTCTTTCAATTCAAGTTTTTTATGTATTGTTTTTAGTCACACAATCATCAAAAAAATAATTCTTCCAGCATCCTTAAATGTTCTTTGTTTTCTTGACTACATTTTTTTTTGCAACATTGCTTCCTCTTGGTATTTATTATACAATAGTTTCCTTACATTCTTTCTTTTAATACAAATACTGTAATCTACAAATTCATCTACAAATTTTATTTTTTCTTTATTCCCAATCTTTTTTATTTCAGTAATCTACCCAGCAGTCTTATTTGGCATTTGGCAAGATACTTTTCTTACTTCTGTTCTAAGCAGTTACCATAACCTATTTTGTTATAGACATTTTTCATTCTTCTATGCATTATGTTTTCCAATATTGTTTTTATATAGGATTTGTACTTTATATTTCTGCAACTCTTCTACTTACATTCTAATTTCTTTCATTTTTTTCTAATATATCATTTTTTCCCAAGATTTACTATCTCCTCCCCTAAATGGATGTAAATAAATAAGTCAATAAATCAATATGTAATTTAAGATTCAAATGCATCCAACATTACATTCACAGATTTATAGAATTGTGAAATTCATCTAGGTCGGGGGTGTCCAACATGCATCACATTGTCATCATGTGACGTATTGCAACTTTTTCCCTTCGCTAAACCGGTGCATGGCTAGCATGTTATGCATCTGGCCCATGGGCCGTGAATTTAACACCCCTGATCTAGGTCAATGTGCAGGGAAACCAGTTAAACTATCTTTGAGAGGTAGCTTTATTAATAACTTCCAGAGCTGTAGAACTCATCACTCCATAATTAGCTGGTTCCACTGTAGTACTGATATTACTACTGGAAAGTTTTCCCTTGTGTTTAAGCAAGATGTAGATAGTTCTAACGTGTACACGTTAATTTTGGCAGTGGTTTCCTTTCCAAGTTTGTTTCCATTAGTTTCCAAACATTTCATTACCAGACTAGGTAACAGGATTCCCACTGATTATGTTACATAGTCTGGTTAACGAAACATTTGGGAATTAAATGGAAACAAGCTCGGAAAGCAAACCACTGCCAAAATCTAAAGCCTGAGCTACAGGTATTTTTTACTGTACACATTATTTCTGGTCTAAATTTCTTTAGCAGTGCAAAATAGTTGGTGCCCATTTGATATGCTTTCATGTACTTGAACAACTTCAGTCTTCTTTTCATCAGACTGAATATACCAAGTTCCTGCACAGATCATGTCCTTGGGTTAGTATATTGTCTTTGTTGCCATCTTTTGAACCTATACAATTTAGGGCCATAAATTTTGACTTTCTCTGAGTGTGGGTTACCCAACCAGTTGACAACACACAACTGGTCCCAAGCTTTCATGTAATTGATTTCAGATGCAACAATTCACCTTTTATTTTGCACTGGGATCTAGATCATTTGACCTATGTTTCCCTCACTGCATATTCCATGCTACAGCCTTACTCAGAAGAATAGAAAGACTATTGGCTTACCTGAACGGTCGTTCTCTGGGCGCTGTGAGGAGAGTCCAAGCATGGATTAACACAGTCTATCTGCCCTAGGACTGAGTGAGTTTTTTCTTGGCCACACCTCCCTTTGCCTCCATTAACTCAGTTTAAAAACGAAGAAGTAACTGTACAGGATGTCCATTCCACAGTCACATCTAGTCAATAGTCTTGAAAGTTGCAAAAGACTGTGGGCGGGTTTGGACTCTCCTCGCAGCGTCCAGAGAACAACCGTTCAGGTAAGCCAATGGTCTTTCTCCTGTGTGCTGCTTGGAGAGTCCAAGCATGGGACATACCCAAGCTATTGTGTCCCAGGGTGGGTAGAGACAGGAATCGCCGGAGCCTCTGCGACTTTTTGTAGAATTCTCCTTCCAAAAGAAGCTTCGGCTAAGGCAAAGGTGTCAATTTTGTAGTTCCTGATAAATGCTGTGGGAGAAGCACACGTGGCCACTCTACAAATGTTGAGAATGGATGCCTAGGTCACCCATGCAGCTGAGGTAGCGGCACTCCTTGTCGAGTGTGTAGTTACACAGCTAGGCGCGGACCTGCCCTGATGTTCGTAAGCCAATTTGATGCAGTCTCGCAACCAACGCCCAATGGTATGAGAAGATGCCTTGCGACCCAGTGACCCAGGATGAAATGACACAAAGAATGATTTGGAATGCCGGAATTCTTTGGTCCTTTTTACGTCTAACATATGTCAGTCACGTTCTCTAGGATGCGTAGGCTTGGGACAGAAAGTTCTATGAAAGTGAGTGTTGACCTTAGGGACGAACGTGGGGTCAAGCCTCAAAATGACTCTGTTAGTATGCATAATGCATAGGTCTTCCCTGACGGAGAGGGCTGCCAGTTCAGATACTCGTCGAGCAGATGTAATGGCCATGAGAAATGCTGTTTTAAGAGTCAGATGGTGGAGACTCGCCGTTCAAAGCGGTTCGAATGGCACCCCCGTCAAGGCTCGAAGAACAAATGGCAAGTCCCAGGATGGATAATGGTGGATCTCCTGGGGGCTGATATTTACCGCACCCTTCAGGAAGCTCTTGACCGGCGGGTGTTGGCTCAAGGGGCGAGAAGACCCATTGAGAAGGATGGTGGATAACCTGACGACGGAGAGTGTTGGGAGCCAATCCCCTGTCCAATCCCTCTTGCAAAAAGTCCAGTAATTGTGGAACTGAAGCAGAGATGTCTCTTATGCCCTTCTTCAGACACCAGGTTGAAAACGCAACCCAGGTTGCTTCGTATATCCTAGTGGTGGAAGGTCTCCTCGACGCTTGGATAGTTTGTATGACCTTTTCCGAAAGGTTCTGTTTCCTCAGGAGTTCCTCCTCAAGTGCCAGACAGCTAGTTGCAGCCACTGGGGATCCAGGTGGCTGACAGCCCCTTGGCAGAGGGAGATCTGCTTCTGAGGAATTCTCCACAGTTTCTGGATGCAGAATAAGCGGTAGAGGAGGGAATGCGTACAATAGTCCTGGGGGCACCTTGCACCTCAGAGCATCTGTCCCCTCCGCCCATGGAGAATGGTATTGGGAGAAAAATCGTGGCAGATGTGTGTTGGCGTGTGTGGCAAATAGGCCTACTTGTGGTTTGCCGAATCTCCTCACAATCTGCCTGAACAGGTCTGGATGCAGCTGCCATTTGGAGTGGTCGATCTGTTGCCGGCTCAACCAATCTGCTTCCTGGTTGCTGGTCCCGGAGATGTGATCTGCTTTGATGGACGCTAGGTGGCGTTCTGCCCATCTGCCCAGGGACTCTGCCTCTGCCATGAGCCTTCTGGAGTGAGTGCCCCCGTTTA